ATTCCAGAGATGCAAGGGTGGTTCAACATACGAAAGTCAGTGAATGTAATACATTATATTAACAAAGTCAAGGACAAAAACCATATGATCCTCTCAATAGATGCAGAAAAAGCATTTGATAAAATTCAACACCCATTCATGATAAAAACCCTGCAAAAAATTGGAATAGATGGTCTATACCTCAATTTAATAAAGGCTATTTATGAAAAACCATCAGCCAACATCATATTGAATGGCCAAAAACTGAAAACCTTCATGTTAAATTCTTTTTGACTTTTTAATTAATGAATTGTGACGAATGCTACAGGTAACATGGAACCTCCAATTCCTGGTCTGTTTTACTGGAGATTTGGGTCTCATCATATTGTGGTATCCTCCATCACTAACAATATTAGTTGTTCAACTTGAAAAGATCTAGAATCCTTTTAACACTGGATTAGGTTACATATTCAAGAGTACAATTGGGAGATGAATATTATGTAAGTTCTAGAAGACTGTATAATATTTCCCAAAAACGCAAATGAGAAGAGACATGATCTTACATCTTTAATTTATAAAACAATAGTAAAATGCCTTATATTTACTTTTGAATCTCTCTTCAACTAAAAGAATCTTTAAAATACTCTTGTACGAAGGTAATACAAAGGCTCATTTGGTCAAAACATGTGGTATGTTCACTCTTTAAAGGCAGTTACTGATAATGATGAATTACTTTTGTTGAGCATTTTGTAGTTAAAAGTATCCCTTGTGTAATTTCAAATCAAATCAACTGAATCTCAGGATCCAGCTACACATTTTGTTAACCAATGATTTTAAATATGTCACTTAAGTTTTGTCACTCTAAGACCTAAAAGAGGGCTGATAACACATGTCAACTTCCTTCAAAAAGCTGAGATTACATTATTCACTCATTGTAAAGGATTTATTTAATAAACTTATTATTCAGGACACAGAGAAAGCTGAGGTGAATCTTTTCTGCCTTAGAGGAATTAAACACTCCAGTGAGTGAGCCAGATTCAAAGTAGGAAGATAGAGCACCAAGAAGCTGTGCCTGCCCTAAACAGGGCTCTCAAACACCCTGCCTGATGTGAGGGGTGCTGTGCAGAAAGAATCTGCTGGGGTGGGAGGTTTGCCAAAGGGGAAGGTGCCCAGGAGGCACCAGACTCTAAGTGACATCTTTTCTTCACTGGGGCCAGAAAGCTCATAGGTAACATAGGTTAAGTAGAACTTCATCACTAAATTGAAAAATAATTGCATTCCTTTTTTGAGGAGGTCAACTTGTGACAGATACTCCTATTGTCCTTTGGGTGACATTTATACAAAAATATTATGTCTATATTTTCTCTGTGTATTATCCTATAAATATAAGTAGAGGAATGTGTTAGCCTATGTTATTGTTTCTTAAGGCATGTGTCCATAGCTCATTGTCTCTTCTGAATATAAGAGAACACTGTACTTTCCAAAATTAGTTAATGGTAACAAAGATAGTATCCAATACTAAAGCATCCCGTTTAATTCGAATTACAATTGTATTGAATGTTAGTACAATTTCTTTCTTTCTTTCATTTGAATTCTAGGCACATTCAAAGCAATAATCAACCTCCACAGCCCCCTGTTCCACCATTAGGTTACGTGTCCGGAGCCTTGATTTCTGATTTGGAAACAGATGTTCCAGATGATGATGCTGATGATGAAGAGGAAGCTTTAGAAATCCCCAGGCCTCTGAGAGCACTGGACCAAACACCGGGATCCAGTATGGACAATCTAGACAGCTCTGTGACAGGTAATAGAACTGATTTAATAGCTATAACTAACCTCTTTGAGGCATTAAAATGCATCAAAAATCAAATACTTTCTTATGTAAGTTTATTTCCCTCCATCTATTTCTGTAACATTTTAAATATGGTAATGTTAAACACAAAATTCAAAAAGGATTTAGAAACACTTTTGCTTTGCTGCAAAAATGATAAGAAAATTCATGAATTTTAAAAAGCTTTAAAGACATGAAAGAAAACTCAATTATATCCAGAGCTTTCATGCAAAGTTCATTCTGCTAGGGAACCAAGTCTCTTACATAAAAAAAAAAAACCTTGACTTTTTAGAAATAATATATTATGTATATCAGGAGCAACACACATGGTGAATGCAATCTTAAAGCACTTCTTGATATTTCACTCTGTAAAATAATTCACTGATGAAAATAAGCAAGTCTTCAGAATAAGCTTCTCTTAGGTTACACAAAGTATTTTTAGAGTGGAAAATCTATAGTGTGATAAAGCATACGTTTATGAACCTCACATTGGTGAATCCAGTAATTGCTCCTCTCCAAGTAGTATAATCATTTTGAATGTTTGCTTCTTTGGCTCCCTCTTGCCTTGTTCACCAGGTGAAAGCCTTCAGTTGGCACTGCCCTGTTATGATCATAGGCCTGACACATGGCCTATTTCCAAGGGTACAAATTAAATTTCAAATCTAACTGTTTACACAGTGTATATAGAGGAAAGTAAAAACTGACTATTTCAATTGAGTAACCCAGTTATCCATTTTTGACACACAAGAATGGCTATTACATGACTAGAAGACATACCTACAACTGACTGATGTCTGTTCTTTGCATTTCATTAAATCTTCTCAGAAAATCATGCCATCTGTATTTACTTTGATGGCATCTTTTATCTTAAAAGGTGTTTTATCCCAGTCTCAATTCATTGTTTACTCCAAGTGCTTCCCAGCCTCTACAGAGTTTTGTACGATACGTTGCTTCTGCAAGCACTCGTGGACACCGGTTTATGAGAGTAGTGAAGAAGTGTTATCACCTGTGATTTTCCTCTGCATCCCTTCGAAATTACAGAATGTGTGATGTATTAGTTTTTCACTTTACCTGGGGGCTGGTCTGCTTACTATAATTTACTAAGATTTTTAAACCTTCAGATCTACTGCTGTGATTTGAAACCCATATCTAAATGAAGGTGATGGAGCAAAAGTTAAAATATTTGAAATCAGAGACCAGACTTATTAGTGCACTATTATTTCAAGCCTCTTTGCCTGGATTTCTAGCATAATCTCTTTTTGGTTAAAGTTCTGCATATTTTGCATATTTCACTAATGTTATTGAACTCTTTTAGTAATGCAGTAAAAAACTGCGAGAATAATAAGTCAGCTGTAGCCTATATACTCTTTGTATTAACTATAATGAAAACAAATTAATAAATATCTCTATAAATCAGGCGAATGCTATTTTGTACTTTTACATATTCACCTGTTAGGAGTAAGTTAGGCTGTCTAATGAGAAGGTGGTTCCAGAAATCTGCATTTCTCCTGTAGCTAATATAAAGTTCAATCCAAATGAAGTTTTTATTACTAAGAAAATAAAGTCTGTTTTCCTATTTGAATTCGCTGCTTAATTACTGCCATGTAGGAAAAACCTGAGGATGTTTAGGTATGTATTCCAGAATAAATTTATCCTATGAATAAAACATCTCTTTAATAGAAGTTTCCCTTGCTACTAAAATAGCTAAATAAAACAGCCTCCATTTTGTGTATTTGTACACAATAGTAACTTTGAGAACAAAGTTTGGTCAAAGGTTTAATTTGCTTTCTGGATTGTGTATACGTATCTCAGTGTAATTAATGAGTATGAGGGTATGTGAGTGTGTGTGTGTGTGTAGCAGAGATGAGTGTACTAGAGTGTGTGTGCACATGTAGGATGTGGGAATGTGTGAGTGTAAATATGTATAGAAGTGTAGATAAGATGGTGAGTGTACATAGAGTGTAGAGAGTGTGATTAAGTGTATGTAGGGAAGTGTTGGTACAGGGCAGTGAGGGTGAACTTATTGTACACATGCCAGAGCTGGCTGTTCGTATCATTGAAAACTCTGAAAGGTTCACCATCACTGGCATTGGGTGTGTCAGTGTATTCATGTATACATTTGTGTAGAGAGAGAGAGAGTGCATGTATACATATGTAGGGGGATATGGATGGGGTCATAAGAGAGATTGAGTGTGTATAAGTGAATTTCTGTGAGAGCATTAAGGTGTGTGAATGTACTAGGATGTGGGTTCATGTGCAATCTATCTGAGGATAACCTTCAGGTGGATGTACATAGAGAAGATATGTTATAGAAATCAACATGTGAAGGAATATTGCCCTAAAATGTTTATTTTGTCTTAGGATGCTTAAGGCTAGTTTAATGGTGCTGAAACAAGCAGACAGTACAACATGCAGTACTGTATTTCACTTGACTCTGACGTTTGTAGGATGGTGAGTGCCTCCAGAGAGGATTCTGATCATTCCATCAGTTACTCTGGATTCGAAACATGCTGGTAGTGTAACTTAGTCATTATTTTCAATTGAAATTCCCAATATTTTCATTTTTATTAAATTAATGACTGTTTTTAGTAAATAAATGGGTTCCATTTCTTGAAATTCTAAAGCCTATTAGAATGTTGGTCCAGTGACACTGGGCTACAAGCCTACGTATAAAATTATGAAGGTGTTTACTTGGACATAATGTACCCAACAGCTGCCACATTAGAGAGAATCATGTTTCAACAAGCTACAGAGTCCATCTTTGGAAAGAAATATTCATATTAATTCCAAATGTTTCTATAACAACTAAATAGCTGGACATGTTGGCACATGCTTGTAATCCCAGCGGTGGGGAGGCTGAGGCAGGAGGTTGGCTGTGAGTAAGAGGCCAGCCTGACGGCCTGGTTAAGTCAAGGGCAATCTAAACTACATAGCAAGAGCCTGTCTCAAAAAGTCAAACCAGACTAAACCAACCAAGCAAACAGAACACAACTAAATAAATTGTGAAGGACTTCTTAAAATTTGAAATGCTCATTCTTGAGAAAAAAAAAAAAAAACAGGAGGAGACTATCTATAGCTCCATGCTCCATGAACTCAGTAATGAAAGTATAGATTTGCATTCATATATATCTTACGTATTTATTTCAATAGCAAACATTTATCCTTATTACTTCTAATCACTTGATTAAGCATTTAGATTCAATAATCACAGCAATAATAGCTATATAGTAAGTAGCAAGTATTTAGTCCCTAGTAAGTATAAGCCTCCCTTAGCAGTGGCCTGTTTTTTCACGTGGCTCAGTGAGTCGACAATCTTTGCATTTTAAAAGCTCTTAAGGAAACCCTTTTTTTTTTTAATTCTTTTAGTTTTAATAGTCAATAGCTTCTGGTTGGCTCGGAATGGTACAGTTCAACAATATCCTTAAAGACACCGACCCCCAAGCGCATTCGCACCCCCTTCAGAGGTGTTCGCTTCCCCCCCACAGTCCACTTCTGTAGCCTCAAACCCCCTCAGGGGTTTGAAAATCCACATTTTTGTCATAAGCTGAAAAACTCCTTGGTACACCCACCATCTGTGTTCTTTAAACAACAACAACAACAACAAATATTAAACCAAACACCCTCCCAGGCTCCGCTGCCTCCCAGAGCAAAATACCTTGGCCAAAGAACCTCTGCATCCTCTTGTCTCTTGCAGGCTGTGTGGTTCTGTTCCGCTTCCTAGTCACTGGAGTCACACAGCACAGAGCTTGTAAATCTTGGCACAGTACACCTGGGCAGCCAGTGCTATCGTGTTGTGCAGTCTCTTCCTGTGCAGTAGTCCTTCCGGACCAGCACCACTGGGGCAGAGGGGGTGAGCATGTGCAGGGGCAGTCGAGACGGTTTATAGGCATCGTGCTCCCCATGGTCAAAATGCCAGGAGATCCCATAGAGGGTGCAGCGGGCCAAGCTCAGCACTCCAGCGCGCAAAGAGATATAGTGGGAGTAATGCAGTGGCAGTGCTCTCCAGCACAGCAGTCTTAGGCAGGTATCGGTGCCCTGTCTCACCCATTCGGTGGGCCCCAACACAGTGTGTTTGTGCTGGGCTTCCAGGACCTGCTCCAGCTCGTACTCACACTGGTCCTGGGCATTCTCGCCTTTGTGGATCTCATTGTACATCTCATGCAGTAGCCTGTGGCTGACAAGGTCACCCTCTGTCGGACGCTGTCACTGATGCCTCCTGGGCCCAGACGCCTCCTTCCCCACGTGGCCATCTTGGAGACATTTGGTGCATCCCCGTCTTGCATTGAGGGGACAGCAAGCTTTCTTTTTTTTTTTTTCAGTCTAGTTTTATTGACATATTTGGCCTGAGTATCTCACCTCTCTCTCCTGATAGCTAAGTAGGTACTAACAAGTTTCCAATGATAATGGTGCCTGCAAGTCCTACCACCTGCAGAGCGGAACACCTGTACATTTATGTTTTTTTTCTGAAGGGTCCTAGCGGCTTGGAGTAGAATCATGGGGCCCTTGCTAGAAATGCTGGCAGTACTGTTCTGAAATAACAAAAAACACAAATAAAGACAAATGTAGAACAGCCTGCAATACTTAGTATCTGGCATGTTAGAGCAAACAATGTACTACCCCCGTTCTAAAGCTGCACCATATATTGACAATTTAAACCTCAAAACAGCATTATTTCTGCTTTTACTTTTATATAAAGAAAGTGAGTCACAGAGGGATTTCAAGGTCACTCACCTGATGAGTGGCCAGAACAATGTTCAAAATCAGTCTTATTCTAAAGCTAAACTACAATGATTCCTGCTCCACAAATGCTGTTTTTTTTTCTAGTCTAATTTTTCTAGAAATTAGCATCGCTGAGAGGAAAATAATGCTCTGATCAGTGCTTACATGTGCATCGTCCTGTGTGTGTGCACACTCATATGTGTATGTGTATAGATGAGTAGATATGATTTATTTTTAGATCATTTTCTTTGTTAGTACATTTATAGCACATAATGTTTACAATATTGTGGGAACTCAGTACCTATACACAGCAGACTCTAATTCCTTTCTTCATCTCTTTTCCTGTTTTTATTTCCCTCTCTCCATCTCTTGATCTCCTTTCTCTTAGAGAAAGGTCTGTCTCCCTACTTTCTATTGCCTTTAATTTGCTCTTTATTTTTAGTCTGGCTTTCTTACATAAGAGAAACCGTGTGATATTTAAACTTGTTTGTCTGATTTGCTTACTTAACATTATGGTCTTTTTCCTACACATGATCCAAGATTATCTTTCTTTCTGGAAGAGTAGTACTCCACTGTGTATAAATAACACATTTTCTTTATCAGCTCATCTGTCAATGATTATATAGACAGCTTCCAAGATTTAGCTGTTATGAGTTCTGTTCCTATAAACATTGGTATATATTTATAAGAATTCAGTATAATTTTATCTCTGCAAAGAGTCCTTCACCACTGTGAACTTGTCAAGATCAAAAGATTAATTTTTAGATGTGATTTTATTATTTCACATATTTAGCTCTATGTTCCTTTACCGTGACTTAACAAAATTCAATGCTGCCAGACCTTTTAAAGGCAAACTCATTTTTATAAGTTTTATTTTAATTTATGCCTATAACATACAACTATTTGGTTGTAATAAAGTACAGAATTGCTTTTATTGTGGGACTTTGCACACTATTTTAAGCTAGAATATAATCACAAAGAATTGATTCTTCACAAATATGCCTGTCATATTTTCTTCCTAAAAGCCAAATCCACTATTTTTGGATAACAGGGAGGGGAAAAGCTTCAACACTTTTTTTGTAATTTCCTCAGTGGGATTCAAGGGTAAGTGTTTCCTGAATTTAATGACACCACCATGACAAAAGAAACAGAAGGCAACAGGAAAGAAGGCAGAAGATGTCCTGAACTTGAGGCCGAGATTCTAATTGCCCTGGTGATCACAAACAGAAAGGCCTAGAGGGAGTATTGTTAAGTAAAGGAATAAAAGTTCCCTTGTCTGCTGGGCCCCTCGTGAATGCAAGAGTGGAGAGGAAATTGTGGCTCTGTATTTTCTGTTTTATGTCTTCGGAGATTTTTCTGGAGATTTTTCTCTCACCCCAGATTACTCTGAAAACAATGAAACCAGGTAGCTTAAATGTCTGACTTGACCACCTGGCTGTTAGAGCATTGGCCACTGAACATTTTGACCTGAAGCTTCGCTTTTGCTGCAGAAACTTTAGAATAATAATTTGAGTATTATGGGAAATGTCAGTGAATTGCTAAAAGTAATGAAGTGATATTCTTAGACTACCTGAACAGCTCCAATGTCTTTGAAAAGAAACTAAATATATACTACAAAAAAGTAAATATTATATGTATCATTTTGAGGTAAAACAAGTTGATAGTTGTAACAAAAAGTACCAAGGAAGAGATCCTTAATGCTTCTTTTGAAATTTTGCTTCTATGTGTTACAGATGTGGATGTAATAGTTGTATATTTCATATATTTGAGTGAAAAAGGAACTTCTAGAGACTAGAGACATTTTCTACAGAAGTCAGTATCTGAACTGATTGACCAAAGACATTTATAAGTGAAGATTGTACTTAGCAGGTACTTAGACAAATAGCACTCAATAGGAAGAACTACTGAATTAAATATTGGCTCAAAAAATGGGGAACTGTTGGTTTTTGTATCTCATAAAAATGGTAATGCAACAATTAGCAGGGTCATATTATAAAGCACAGACTTTACTCTAGCTTAATGGATCTAAGGATAAGCATTTATCAGCAAGGAAGGATTTAGCATAAAATGACATGCAAATGAATTGATGACTGATCATAAATTAATTTTAGTGCTGAAGATGTAATAGAGACACAGCAAGATGCCACTTTATCATGGTATTTTATGCTCAGTAACATGTGAGCAACAACTTAATGTCTTACGTGCAGTTCTTCTTTAGCAGCTTGAATAAATTTGAGATTTTTTTTTTTTGGCCTTTCAACAATTTTAAACCTGAGAAATTTGGAAGGATTGAAAATGTGATCACAAATAAATTTGGGTATCTGACATAAATTCATTTTTCATTAAATGTTTAAATATGTATTGATTATGTTTGAGAGTATAACCTGTCAAATGGCTATAAATTCTTACAATTTGTGCCAAATTTGTGGCTGCATGCTTTACTCTGGTGTTTACTTTGAATTTCATGTTTCTGTCTACTTTTATGAAAAAACAGTAATTCAAAAAATGACTGAGTTTTAATTTATGAATTAATATTTTTCTTCCCATCACTGTCTCCTGTTCTTTGGTTTTTGTTTTTTTGTTTTGTTTTGTTTTGTTTTTTCCTTCTTGGTAACTGTTTACCTAAATTTTAGCAACTATATATGCATAGCTTTATTATATTTTATATACATTTTATTCATGGAATGTGGCCTGATAGCTTTAAAAATATTCCCCACAAATGCACCCATTCTATATAATATACTCCCATTTCAGAGGGGAATTTGTTGGACATGAAAGATAGAGAAACAAAACGATAAAAAGAAGAAATGTACTACATTCTGTGTTCTTTGCCTTCTCTCTTTCACTTATGGCGGTTAGGGTTCTCATGGCCTACAATGGTCCAATATATCTATGCTATCTGTCTCTTCTGCTCTGAAGTCACCTTTCTAATCTCTGCTCTTAGGAGAAGTATGAAAAGTAAAGATCGCTGGTGCAGTCTATTTACCTAACCTCACTTGAAGTCCTACCTTCCATGCAGCTGCCTCTTCCCAGAGAAGATAAAAAGAAGTATCAGGAAAAACTGCATAAATAAGATTTTTGAAGACATAGTAGAAGCCATAAAGAGTGAGTCCAAGACAAAGACAGATAGTATTTGTTTAGAGCATGGTAAATGTGTGTATGGACTCACTGACAAGAAGGAAAAATGTTTTTTTTTTGTGGGGGAAAGTTAAGCTAATCTCTATTAGTTAGATTTAAAGGTGGCATTTCTTTGGTAATGTTACTGTGGTGTTTTTTTTTCCCCCCTGAGTTTTCAGGTTCAGAGACTAAATTTGTCCATATTTTAAATCCTCAGGATGGAACCATACACCAGCATGCAGAAAGGAAACAAAACAGACTTGAGTATTTCTTGCCTGATCATAATAGAGAAATAATTTAAAAGAACAAACAGTTTTGAGCTGAGTGCATTAAGATGGGTAGGTGTGCCTGGGGATTTAGCTTGGGTTCGGTGGCCTGCCTTGCAAGCACAAGGACCCGAGTTCAATCCCCGGGACCAAAAAAAAAAAAACATGAATAATAAATTGTCATTTAATATAAATTCATTATCTTAATTTGAATAAAATATCAGTAAATATTAACATTGAAGTGTGTCACAGCATAAATAATATATAACTATTTTCCTTTATAGCATAAATTATTATATAATAAAAGTTATATACATACACTATTTCTTACTTTCTAATTTTAGATTTTGATCACCTTGCTTTTTTCTCTTTGACTGATTAAGCAATGAGGATTCATGAACATTCTATTCCTTGTTCATTACATTTTCTAGATTTACTTATGAGGGCATTCATTTTCCAATGAAGACAAGGTCATCACTGAGAAATTATATATCAAATAGAAACACACATAAATTTAGTGAATACTGGAAATGTTAAATGCTCTGAATTCAGAATGTTCAGTGTTTGTTGAATTTCTACTGTACAGTGCCCCTTGTATAAGAGATTTGCAAATGAATAAGTTAGTTCTTAACTTCTAGAATTCTCCTTCAAAGAAGAGAAAACATACATATGCAGCAAAAAGTAATATAGGTAGTGAAATGATACACTACTGCATACAAAGGTTTTGAACAAACAAACAAAGATGAAAGACTTATTTTTCCTCACATAAAATTGTAGATGAGGTAGAACTAAGGCAATGAGGTAGAAAGTGCTTCATTTAGACTTTGCAGTTTGGCAGTGGTTAACAGAGTTGGCAGTGATACAGAAGTATTCTAATGAAATAGGAGGTGATGTATAGGTGAGGCAAAGACTTCCCTGGCTGTAAAACAGAACAAAGGTAGACTTGTCTTAATATTGAAGGGGCTCAAAAGATCGAAGGAGCAGTTTGGAAGTGACATTGGTGGACTGCGTAAGACTTGAAATGAATTAGCAAAAGAGCATTACAAGTTATTCAGAAAGATAATTCAACCAACACTGAGAAAGAAGGATTTAGAAGTAAATTGGAAGGAGTTTAGAGATGAAAATAAAGAGATGCTTATTTGGAAAGTGAGAGCATTTAGGATAACAGAAAAGAGCACATGGAGAGGATTGGAACTGAGCTTTCAAATGTATTAAAACTATTCTCAGATCCAGAGTATCATATTCCTTTGTGACCCCTGACTGAAACACTTTGATTTTTTCTTATCTACTGTAGCATTGTATTGCAAGGCCTATTGCATCATTTCTTCTTTCATTTTGGGCTGTTGGTCCCTGACTTGTGATTATTAACCTAGAAATGAATCTTTCCAAGGAGCTCAGTTGCTGGTGTTATCTCAGATTCCCTGCAGTGGCCTGTGTCAAGGGAATTTATTTGGAAAGTAAAAAGTGTATCTGTGTGCTTTTGGCAATTAGAATCAAGACTCTATCTTTTTCTGCTACACTTAACACGCTTTTAACTTCTCAGATCATTCTAAACCCTTCAGTTTCTGTCTTTTCCATCTTGAGAGTGCATAAATCCATGTTATTGTATCCTGGCACCTTGATTGAAAATATAAATTCTGCATGGCAATACTCCTAACCAAAGTGCTGTCTCTTAAATATTGAAGAAAAGGAGAAATTCTCTGTAACATTTGGTTTTCAACTCTTTCTTGTGCATATGTGTTTGCTTTATTTAGAAATCCTAAATAAACTTTCTCTAAATAGTGTTTTTGTCACTTTCCTAACAAAAATCAGAATAATAATTGGTATTTTGTTGTGTCATAACTTAATGGTATATCAACTGAAGTAAATATTATAATATCAATTGTATTAAGTAATAAGTTCCTAGTATGCTTTTTTCTAAGAAAATATGTAAAATGTTTCATGACTTTCTAGAAAGTTAAGAATAAAGGTATTTGTCAATTTCTTCAAAATTAATGGTTCCTTACACATAAAACTAAAATTATTTTCCTGTACTGCCACATTGCCTTTTACATAAAAAAATCCATATTAATTTTGGTGATACTTTTTCTAGAGGTTATGTTTTAAAGATAAGTATTAGTATTAAAGAGACAACTGCAGTTTTTCAAATAATTAAAAATTGAAAGCATAGTGAGTGTTGGAATTAATACAACTTTTATAAAATACATTTTCCTTATGCTCTATGTTTATTGTTTTAAGAATGTCTATGTTTTTTGTTTTTTTGCTATTTCTCAAGTGATTTTTTATGTTAAAATCTTGAAATAATTCTATATCTTTGATAATAGAGAAGTGTATTTACAATAGCTGAGATACAAATATTTATACAGATTATTACTGGAGCCTCAACTAACTTTAAAACATATTTACATTGTTTTTCAACTAAATCCCTGAGTGGTGTTAAAGCGCTGATTTGTTTTGATAAAATGTCCTTTTTGGAGAACTAAGCATGTAAACTTTCATGTAATAATTGAATCATTTAGAACATGTCTTATTCATTGCTGCAAAAGGATGCAGATTTTAATCTAGCATCATTCTTCCTCACTGAGAATCTTTAAAACGTGGATACGTGGCTAAAGAACTCAGGATAAAACTTCAAAGGTAAAGCAGGGTGTTGGGGCAACCTCCTTGCTCATTAGTATAGTGTGTACAAGAAGATAAGATATTCAATGTATACAACTCACTAGACAACTACATTTGTTTTTAGGTTCAATGGTAAATGGATGGGGCTCTGCATCTGATGAGGATCGTAACTTTTCTAGTCGTAGATCTAGTGTAGGTAGCTCCTCAGATGGCTCCATCTTTGCCAGCGGCAGTTTTGCACAAGCACTGGTGGCAGCAGCAGATAAAGCTGGTTTTAGGCTGGATGGAACCAGCCTTACAAAAACAGGTTGGTAGACTCCAAGTCAACACTCTTTGCATGAGAGAATCTTGTCCTTTAGACACTGACCTTCTTTCTCCTGTACTTTATCCTCAGAGAGTCTGATTGCAGGGCTTTCTTTAATATGCATGAACACAGTTTGGATGCTCTGTTACCAGAACTCTCTTCTGATGTTAGTTTTACAGAGCCAGAAATAGTCTACTCACCACTTTCTAATCCTTTCTCTTCATAGCTGTGCTGATTAACTGAAATATGCTTCCTTTTTTATATTACAACAAAGCAGCAACTAAGATTACCATTGAATTTTCAATAATTCACACTTTGCAAAATCCTCACACAATCAATAATGAACCTAGTGATTAAAATTATTCAGCTTTTATCTCCATTACTTTGCTCTGCCCATTTCTTTCTGCAAATGCATTTTCTGGGAAGGTTTCCTCAGCATGGGGTGAACAGGCCTAACGCTGTCTGTCTAACAGTTCAAACAATGGATGGTCATATTAATTGTTTGGCTGAAATTCTAACAAAATAACTTATGATTTAAAGGATGCTAATTAAAGATAAACCTACTGCATTTGCAAATTAAATAAAATGATGACTACCTGTATATTACTCTTTATAGTCATTTAATTTTGATTACTAAGAATAAGGTTTAATCTAAGGTCAATTATGTAATTTTTCATATTCTGCTTATTCCTCAAAGAAACACCAGGTTAGCTATAATAATAGACCAGTAAATTATAATCTTTTGTTTGTTGGAGATAAAAAGTAACTTTGGCATTATGTGTGTCCTTATATTTGTATGTACACATCTTAACTGTACTTATAGGGAAGTAATATATGAATTAAACTGAAATGTCTTCTAAAAGTAATGAAACTAACCTAAACACATTTTTTAAATCTTACTAGTATTCAAATTGTAAATGAAAATGAATTTGATGCTTTGCTAACTTTCAAGTGATAAAAATGAACCTTGAAATTTCCTTTTAAAGTATACCATTGATATTTCTTTTGAGCTTACATTAAATAGTTTTCAAACAAAATAAAAAAGATTTTTCAAGCACTGCAAAGGTTTATTTTCATATAGCATCTAAACTATGTTGTAAGTTAACTGTTATTTGAATTCTCTTGCTTTATAAAGCGTAAGTCAAAAACTTTATGTTGCCTGAGTCCTTTTCATGGCATTAGCTGTAAACAGAGCAGTGAGAAAATGCAAGGAAACTAATAAATTTGATGGCAGAAATGCATTTCTTGCATGTATGCTAATAGCTAATAAAGCATTAAGCAATATCATGCCAAACTGACTTAGGAAAATGTAACTATTTATAATAATTTTGTATGAGACAAAAAAAAATGCACGAGAATAAATACATGCACATAAACCAGGCCGCTCTTACTATAATAAACACAATATTAAAATAATAAGCTGTTAAAAATTTATTAGCTAACCTTTCCCTAGAATAAATTTCCTTCTATACTATATATACTAAATCACAAATGAAGTAACACATTTCATTTTGCAGTGAGAATTAAGAATCTGCTCAGATACAAATAATGTTCTTCAGAAAACACCTATTAAACTTTGGATATACAAAGTGATTTTAACTTACTGTTTCCTGATGTTATTGAGTTTCTGCTAATAAACAAATGTAGAATACATCATGAATGTACATTTCTTGGTAAGGTCAGTTGAACATATGTATCTGAGTAGAATGTTCATGTAACATTTCAAATATAATTATTCTAAGACATTTTCCAAGGATGAAATTTGAGTAAATAAATAAAACAGTACACAATTTATTTCAGAAATAGCTTCTTTAGTTTAGAAAAGTGTGTGCTGAATGGATTTGCAAATATCTATGAAAATTACACTAAAATTTTTAAGTTTAAATAAAAATATAATCAACTAATAATGAGCTTTTGGTTGGCAGATTTGCTTATGTTCACTTGTTTGAAATAATATTTGACGGGTGGGATTTTTTCAGTTCATTGGAAATTGGACAAATTAAATACGAGGACCATATAGAGATGCATCAGTATTTGATATTTCCAAAATGAATCTCTAGTTAGGCTCACCTCTTAGTTTTAGGAAGAGCAGAAATATATGGCAGAATCCAGTATCTGTCATTGTAATGATGTTCTCTGCACTCCATTCCCTCTTTTTCTTTTTTAGGAAAAGCCTTTACCTCCTCTCAAAGACCTCGACCTACCAGCCCATTTTCTACTGACAGTAATACCAGTGCAGCCCTGAATCAAAGTCAGAGACCTAGGCCCACCAAAAAACACAAGGGAGGGCGCATGGACCAACAGCCAGCATTGCCTCATCGAAGGGAAGGAATGACAGATGGTAAGTTTATTTCCTCTATTCTTGTCTCCTAACCAAAGAGATGTGGTCTGTGCAGTCATTAACTTAGACGAAAATAGCTTTGATAGATTAAGCACTGCCTCATGACATAATAAGGCAGAAGCCTGGCCATAGCATATGGTCATATTTAAATAAAGCATCCTCTTTCCAACAATCTGAAACTAATTCCATGTTACCAAGCCTCAAGAAAGATTCTCCATACCACTTTTCAGTGTAGATTTTTCTACTCTTCTGTCTCTTAAGTGCTTTTTAGCAAACATTTCACTTTAAGATTAAATGGCACTGCACCTGCCTGGCAAGTGCAAGGTACTGAGTTCGAACCTCAGTACCAAAAATCAATCAATAAATAAAAGATTAAAAAAGAAAATGTAAACAGTTTGTGCAGCTGTTATGGCATCAGGACATTTATGATATTACTTACAATCTCTTAGATTGTATTTCACTTTGGAAAGGATTTTGAAATAACTATTCTGTTCCATGAATTTCTGGGCTGAAAGCACACTCATGTAGTTGAAGAAAAATGTCTTACATCAGCTTGTACTGTGTTAACTATTATAACCTTAAATACATTGGAAATTCATTTCTCACAATTCTGGAATCTAAAAAGTCAAAATTGAAGGTGCTCACAGATTTGGTGTTGGGTGAGGGCTGTCTTTCTGTTCTCTTTTTGTTGTGTTGTTACATGATAGAAGAGATCTTTCTAAGGTGTGTTGTACACACACACTAATTCCATTTATGAGAAATCTGTCTTCATGACCTAATCACCATCCAAAGCCTGGTCCTTCCAATGCCATTATATCGGAGGTCAGGATCTCAACATGCGAATTTAAGGGGACATAACAATGGGTCAGTAGCTGGAGGTTTGGCTCAGTGGTTCTGCCACCTGCCTCGCAAGTGCAAGGGCCCGAGTTTGAACCCCAGTACCAAAACAAACAAACAAAACAATGGGTCAGTAATTTATTTTTCTGTTAAAATTCATATAGTGATTTGAGGGGTGGTTTTAAGAGCATATGGTCTCTTTCTCAGCTACTCAACACTCCCATTGTTCCATGAGTATAGCTACTTGGAAAGTAAAAAAAATAGGGGTGTAACTGAATTCCAATTAAGTTTAGTTGACAAAAACAGGTCTTTGGGCCTATGAGCTGTAGTTTGACGATCTGTTTCAATTCTTTTATTTTTGTATATCATCTAATCTTTGCCTAAAAACTACCAGCTTCAGAAAACAGTATTAGTATTTCATCAGTTCCACACAACACAGCGTATTATTCACATTTTCCCACTTATTCTCCCACTTAATTCTTATGTCTCTTAAAGAATGAATAAAAATATTTATCCTCAAGTTTTATTCTAAGACAAGGTAACAATCCATTTAAACTGTTCAATATAAGGTTAGACTCAATAGTAAATTTATTTTCCCTTCTTCTGTAAGCATATAAACTTGTATTAGTATTGTTTTACTAAACACCAAAAGAATGAATTACGCCTAACTGAATCTTAGAACCATTTAGGACAATCTGAAAATATATCCTGGAGATTCACATTATTCTAGTGTAAAAGCCAGTTATGTGTATTTTTGAAGCTCAATCTGTGGATCTAATATATATATCTATCTTGAAGAAGCTATGATCTAATCCTTAACATTCTTAGACCTATTACTATAGAACAGAATGATGCCTGGTTGGGAACGAAAAAAGTGTTGTTGTTTCAAGGTAGGGCCATTTACTGGAAGCCATCTTTGTACTTTCTTTTATCACCTTTTACTGCTAAGAAGACTTAAAAAGCCAAACATGCTTACTGTAAAATCTTTCAAGTTTGCTTATTTTTCCTGCTTTCTCTGTTTTTATTGGACAATTTCTATAAAACATGAGGGTTAGGATTTCAATGAGGTTGTTTGCAATTTTTTATAAATGGTTATCTTTTGGTAAACAAAAATGCTTGCCACTACTTTTTTGCCTCAGATGCTTTGAAGATTAGTTGAGCACTTAAAATAGACTTTGCCCTTGATATTCTCTCTAAATAAAAGGAAACCTCTCATATATATATATAAAAAAAATTCCTGCTCTGAATATCATGTCAAGAGAAAAAAATTAGTTGAATATTTTCTTTGTTTTTTTCAGGAATGCTTGAAGACTGTGTCTAAAATATATGGATGACATAGAATCTGAATCAAAAGAATAAATAGTTCTCTTTCTTATTATTTTTTACAAGATTTTTCTATATAGCTTCATAGAACAATTTACTTCCTGGTCTAAATCATGATCAACGTATTGATTATCTTTATAAAAATAGATTCTTAGAGTTCAAATATGCCAGCATTCTAAAAAATAGTGATACATTATGTGTTATTAGTAGGTACATTTTAGAAATAGTGATATGGCAAAGAAAGTTTTGCCTTACATGTCTTCATAGTTGTTCAATCTAAAGGCATTTTAGTTGTGATACAAGAACATTTATTTTAAACACCACTCTATAAATTATCCTTAAGAATATTGTTATTTTACAACAAATGCTTTTGATAAGAATCCACATGTCAGGAATAACTTGAAGAATCTTCATGTAAAATCAAATTAGGAAGATTGTGGCTTAGCAACATTCACTTTGTAGAAAAATACACTAAAACTTTTACCTTATGGATTTTATAATACTCTTTTATAGCTATATTAATTAAGGTAATTGTTTCTAGTTGCTTTAGCAAACAACCTCTAACCCTTAGAGTCTTAGCACAGTAAAAATTTCTTTCTAATTGACATAATGATCTGTCAAATTCACATGGCTCTCCTTTAAGCAGTAATGTAAGTATGTAGGCCTTTTCAGTATGGGATACCATCGTTTTCATGATTGGATCATTATGATTCCTTAACAAGGGGGAGACAGAACATGAGTGATCTTTGGAAGGTTTTAATGACAAGTGGCAAGAGTCACTTTACTTTTCATTGGCAAGAATTCTATCCCACGGTTTCAAACTAACTTCTGGGATAGGAAAGCAATCTCTGTATCCAATACGAGGAACTGGGAATGACTGGACATATTATTCTTTTCAAAAGACTGCAAAAATCCAGACACAATTAAGGAGTATTCTCTTATGTAAAGTCTTTCCTAAGTAAACTTTTCTGAATAAAAGTCTGCCATCTCTTTACACAGTGAGTCAAAGAGTAGTCTTTGAAACCAGTACCCTGAACAATGCTAATGAAAGAAAGATCTCTACCCATTAAACTCCTTTCTCTAGCCTATCTCCTTCCAATTTTGTCTCTCTTTCCCTTAGTGCTTAATACCTTGTTCAGAGAAGTGGCTCTTTCCCAGCTCTGCCGTGTTGTATCTTTGACCTTTGAGCAAATTCATGTGTTCACGAGTCTAGTCATTCAACTCATTAAGCGTATATCATATTATAGGCAACGGAAACCAAACAGACAAATTCCACGGTTCCTAGAGCTTACGTGCTAGTGGGGGAAGACAGACAAATATATTATTGAAAGTACAAAGTGTGTAACAGAATGATCATTACCAGGGGAAAAACAAAGGGAAGAAAGTTTGGAAATACCAGAGTCATGAAGGCAAAAACTCAACTACAAACTGACATTTGAGAAAGGACTTGATGAATATAAGGGAAAAAATAATACTTGGTATCTAAGGAAAGGTCATTCTAGGAAATAAGAACAGCAAGCAAAATGCTGAGGCTTATTTGATAAAAAGTCAGGGAAGCAGTGTGCTGAAGCGGGCTGAGCACCATGATAGAATATGAAGAGAGGTGAGCAGACAAGGGCCAGGATGTGATACTTTTACACTACAGTATTTAGAATGGGAAACTCTTGGAGGGGTGTGTGTGTGTGTGTGTGTGTGTGTGTGTGTGGTAGAGGACTGGGATGATCTTATACGTTTTTGTTTTGAAAAGGGCACACCAACTGTTGTGTTGCTATGTACTAAATGAGGCAACGATATAAAAATGATTACACAGGAGATTATAGAAGCAATGTAAGGAGTAGGTGAAGGCTGATCATAGCAAGGTAGAATTAGTGGAAGCAATGAAACACTTTGGATTCTGGAGGTCAGAATTTCTTAAATATATTAATATAAGCTATAAGCTATAATATAACTATATGAGCTAAAGATCACTTAATAGTTTTCACACAGAATAAAATTGCCACTAATTGAGACGAATACCTCAGAAGGAGCATATTTCATAAACAATTATTTGCAGCTCAATTTTGATAATGTGAAATTTGAAAATTCCACCAAATTTCGAGTTGGAATTTCCAGAGTATATTTGGCTATATGACTCTGGAATTCACTGGAGGAGAGATCCAGACTGGAAATACTACACTGAATTTATTTGTGGCCCACTTTCTTACCTAGAAAATGAAGATAATAATGGCATGCATTTCAGAGGACTGTTGTTGCTTGACAATAGTTAATTCTCAGTATGCCAGTAAGATACTCTTTAGTAAACTGACTTGGTTGAAATGAATCAACATAGAATTGAATAATAAATTTAATTTAAAAAAATGTATTTGATTATATACTTTTATTTTTTCTAAAACCATTTGTAATTCCATGTCTCTTTCTAATTTATTTCAGTTTGCATACAATATCTTTTCTTCTTGATGATACAATGTCCAAGGATATTACTTAATTAAGAAGCTATATAATTTCAGGTTAAATAGGCATCAGAATTTTAATTGACATAAGCAGACGCCATTTTGGCCATTTTAAAAATTAAGTTGCTCTGATAGGGAATAAAAATCAATAACAAGATATGTTTGGAAGCAAATACAATGATTTCTCCTCACTGGCAGTCTAAGTCCAATAATGCAAATTAAATAATTAATGTGCATATATAATAATGTATAGGGAATAAAGTCAGTGCTGAATGTAAATACTAAACTCACTGAACTACTTAACAAATTTCTTGATATTTTATTAGTGCTTTGTTTTGAAAGAAATGTTTGAAATACAACTTTGTTTTATCAGATAGAGACCTTGTTTCCTTCAATAGTGAATAATTCATAATCTAACATAAGGATATACATAAGAATTAGAAATACTTCTTCAATTTAGAAACTTTTTATTTGTTCAATGAAGGATACAATCATTCTGTTCATAAGGCAGAGAATAAAGTTTAAAACTAGCAGTTTAGACTTTCAGGAAGCTATCTTTTGTAGGCAAGAAATTTATACTTTTCCCTTTTAAATTTCACAAACAAAATAGTACTAGAAACATTTACAAAAATATCATGGGAAATAATTGCCTCCATTACAGATACAATTGCCTATATATGCATATAGTATGTATGTATGGTTGTTATGCACAAATGCACAAATAATGTAATTATAAATAATCTAAGGATGACCAAAGAAGTTTGAAATATTATGCAAGAAAAATTCTAATAAACTGATTTAAATGAACATTTAGAAAATTTTAATTCTTCTATTAGTGATTTCAGAACTAGTGTAATACTTATAAGTATGAAGGAAATATGACTTCACAAGCAAAGGTATTCGAAATATAAAGGTGAAGATCTCTGAGCTAGAAAATCTTGAAAAATTAGCTGATTCTTGAACTTTTAATTTTTTCATATCCAATATTTAATTTTAAAAGGTTTTCTGAAAATTATTTATTCCACCACATCTCAGATTTCTATGATATATTGTCTACTCTAGCACCATAAAGCATATTCACTCTGTTCTCGGAGCACTGGTTATTACTTATTAAAATTAATACAATAGAAGATTATAATATATTAGTTGTAACTCAGTTAACTCATGAAATAAATAGCCAGAACTGGTTGTCACATAAGATGTTAATTGCCTTTAATAAATGTTAGTTTAACCCTTTGACTATTGCTAAATGTGCGACATACGTGAACAAAGGCCATCTTACATTGCATATGATATGGCGTATAGTTCTTAATTTCCCAAGGGTGAAATTTCCTATGGAGATTGGCAGAAGAGATTTGTTCGTCTCAGAGACTTTTATTAGCACAACTGCTAGAATTTCAAGTGATCTTATTTTTTGTCATAGCATTTCTAGTTTGAACGAGGTCTGACGATGAATTGAAATATACGATGACTGACCTTTAACCTTGAATGTTAGCCCCCGTGTGCACTTGAAAACATTTTCCATGTTTCATAATTGCATAAAACCATGTCAATTTTATTTCAATGATTCTGTGGTGGGAAGACAGCACTGAGATCAATAATGAGCTTTCTGGATAGCAATAATTGACTTATTTACCCCAGCTTTCTTTTGCATGGGTGATACTTGTAGGAGGGCAAAGGTTATTTTTTTAACTTGAATTAAAACTTGTATTTTAATTAAATTTTAGTTTATTCTAAACATTATTCAAATTTTTTAGATCTTCCACCACCACCAGATCCCCCACCAGGTCAGGGTTTAAGGCAACAAATAGGCCCGAGCCAGCATACTGGTAACCTGGAAAACTCAACAGAGAGAAAAGGAAGCTCTCTAGAGAGACAACATGCATCCAACTTAGAAGACACAAAGAGCTCACTGGAGTGTCCAGCTAAAACCTCTCTAGAGTGGCAGCGACAAACCCAGGAATGGATAAGCTCCACAGAACGCCAAGAAGATACCCGGAAAGCCCCACACAAACCAGGTGCTGGATCGGGTGTGTTCTGCCCAGTCCCAAGAAAGTGTGGAGTGTTACCATGTTTTTCCTACCAAACATCTTAGAAACAGCAATTGTTTAAGGGCCTTGGAGTACACTTGCCTTAAATCAATAGTTGGAGTTAGGATTCTGCAGCAGAGCTCACTGGAATATTTATACTTTAAGGCTGATTCCCAAGGGGATTGTTCCTCAACTTAATCTATCCCTAGGGTCTTTGAGTCCAAGAGACCTCCAGCCTTCATCAGTAGCACCCAGGAGGCAATTTGATTCTTTTTCCTTTATATTATTTATATTATACCTTTAAGACTACTAAAATTCATCCTTTGTGTCAGTTCTATCACTGCCTTCAACAAGTTGCTCATTTTGACTGATGTAGCAAATCATTTGAAAGTAGAACTCAATTCAGTCACATAGGTGAATCGATTGAAACTATAAAATTACAAGTAAATGCCCAGTGTCCTCATGTTGGAAAAGTCTGAATGGAATTTATACCTTCTCCAACTGGTTAAATGCAGTCCATTGTTAACTCTTGGGTAGAAAATGTTCTTGTTTATAAATCAAGCTTCCTGGAAATGATACAACATAAATGTCATAACTTTTGCTTTGGCATTGTTGGGAGTGAGTTTTTAAACCTATTATAGGAATACATTTTCTGGAATATCTCACATAGGGTTCATTGAGTACCAATAAACATACACGAAACATTTGAAATTCTATCTGAATTCATTCATTTATTAATTTGGACTCAATCTTTTCTAGATATGCCCTATCACCATGCATTTCCCATAATTGTATCTTGTCACAACTTTTTCTCCAGTGTTTGGAACATTTAATTTGTAAAAGGGTCAGAATGTGACAATGTCAATATCTAGATCTAGTGAAACATTTAGGAAGGCTACACCATTCTAGCTGTGAGAAAAAAATAGGTCCTGTCATTAAATACTATATAAGGAGAAATAGTAAATTCAGTCACCATTTATTACTTAGCAAATCACTTAATAATGGCTTATAGAAAAAAAATGTTGGGCTAAGGATTTAGCTCAATGGTTCTGCCGCCTGCCTTCCTCACAAATGCAAGGTCCCAAGTTCAGTCCCGGTACCAAAAAAATAAAAAATACAAATTTAAAAAATGTAGAGTAAACGGGGCATGGTGGTGCACACCTGAAATCCCAGCACTCAGGAGGCTGAGGCAGGAGGATTGCTATGAGTTCCAGACCAGCATGGACTAGCGAGTTTCAGGTCAGTCTCAACTACATAGTGAGACCCTGTCTCAAAAAACAAAAAACAAACAAACAAAAAAAATGTAGTGTAAATGTGTGTGGGGATGGAGGTAGGAGAATATGAGAAGAAACAAAAAGAGAAAGTTTCAGAGTATTAAGTATTTAGCAATGTAAATTATGAGTCATTTGCATAAATAATATATTAAGAGAATAGTAACACATTTATTAAAATGCATTAATTTTCTTTCTTTTAATGAAATATACAATATTTTAAATTTATATCACAAGAAAAAAGAAATTTAAGTTTAATTAACTAATATGCAGTCGTTTAAGTTGATTGAGAAAACGTTGTTGTGATTTAAATTAAAAGAGATGCTCTTTCCATCTTAATGGGAAAATTAAATTGGAGCCTCACTGAACTCCAGAAACTTTTCTCAGATATGCTTTTTGTTAAGCAAACTATGGTTCATTGTATACAGCTCTCTTTTATAATGAATTTACATTTTGGAAGTGATATATAACATTGTATACTTATCCCAAGATCTCTTTTAATTTAATCCTGCTTCAGTTCCTATTGTAGGAAATGTTACTTGTGCATGGAAATTCCTTTAATATCCGGGCCTGATTAAACCTCATAATGTTAATTTTGCTAAAGAATGACATAATAAAATGTTCCATCCTGAACTTAATATTTAAAAGTGAAGTTTCTCTTTGCCCCCATGTTGCAGTGCAATTCAGCCTTTTGTGCTTTTCTCTTTTTCAGAGGAGGCCTTGGTGCCCTATAGCAAGCCCAGCTTCCCATCTCCTGGTGGCCACAGCTCATCTGGAACGTCTTCTTCTAAAGGATCTACCGGACCCAGGAAAGCTGATGTGTTGAGAGGAGGACACCAGCGCAATGCCAGCGACCTTCTGGACATAGGCTATATGGGCTCAAATAGTCAAGGACAGTTTACAGGCGAATTATGTAAGTGCTTTAGGTCATTTAAAGGCTACTACGATTCAAAGAGAGTATTGCACTAATAGCATTGCCACATTATACCCATTCAGGATAATAAGAAACTTGCTCTGTTATGGGAGGTAGCAATTACGATTTTGAACAAGTTTGATCATAACTTGGATGTTTGCTATTTATAGCTGGCAATGACAAATATTTCATGTTATTTCAAGTTGATTTAGGTTGCATAAAAGTTCTTCTAATGTAGGGAATTGGTCTTAGTACTTACACATTATACATGGTGCTCTCAGTAGTTGTCTTGCCCTTTTAACTAAGGACAGTCTTGCTAGTTTTAAAGAACTTCTTCAAGAATGCTTTCAGCTGTAGCTCCTCTTCATTTATTTACATTTAACATTTAGGGCAACAAACCTTGAACAGTTGATTTTTGTAGTTCAGTGGTGGTATTTTGACTGTAATGACATATTCTATAAATAAATGTACCCTTTCAAATAAAGAATTAGCCCTAGTAGTTAGTATAATCAGTCCTCAAATATAAAATACTATGCAATGGAGAAGGATAGGAATGTCATAGTGTGTCAAAGAGAAATAATTGAACTCTTTCTGTTAATGTCATCAGGCAATTTACAGTTGCCTTAAGTCATGTCAGAATTATACCCTTCAGTATTTTCATATGCTTCTTGGAATTAAACTTAAATGCACTCCTAAGAGAAAAGCCGTGGATTCCAACATTCTTAACCACTTAACTGGTCATGTGATGTGAGAAAATAAACTCCTTTCCTAGTTTCTATATTACTTTGTGTAAAAAATAGGATCACTATTATTCTCACTTTAAATATTATTTAAGAGATTTCAGGAGATGATGAAAAGACGAAATATTTTCAAACTAGCATTTTATTGATCTGAGTTATTTTGGTTTATTATTAATCTGAGAATTATTGCAAATTGTCACTTTTATAGATAGATTTTTGTTTAACTTATGTTTTAATTAATTATAAAATCACAAGGAATGCAAAACATAGCTGTTTTTGCATTGTAAATGTTTAAATTCTACAATGTTTAACTTTCTTTCCATGTTCAAAAACCTTCAAGTAAAACTGCTTAAATGCACAAACTTGTACCATCCGATGACTTTATCTTCATTTATTATTTGGTTGCCCTGATTTCATTTGTACTGTTCAAGAAAGAAGAATATTTAATTTAAACGTGGGTACTATTTCTGATTTCTCATTTCTGATTTTGTTGTCTCTTTCCAGAGTAACTGAGAGGAGACATTCAAAGCTGCTCCGAAGGACCATCAGGTCCGAACTCATGGAAGTGATGACACTAAACAGTGCAATGAACGATTTCTTTTATTTATGTACTATTAAAAAAAACTGTAAATGCAATGTAAAGACACACAGCCACACATATCCCACAGATATTTTACTTGTGTTCTTCTCTTAAGTATACCACCCACCTTAACTCTTTCTTGTCAGGAGTATATAAAAAAGAAAGCAAACAAAACTCAAAAACTCACCCTCCAGGAAGAAAAGGATTTTCCTCTGTATATAATTTCTTTTGTGCATTGCTATGCAAGCTCACTCTTTTTAGCTCTGTTCATATTATTGTCTGTTCTTAATGGTCTGTTGTACTATATGTGAATTAATAGGCTGTGGTGCCATATATTAACTTTTAATTGTGTAACTTTTATGTTTAAATTTTGCACTGCAATTTTATTTGGTGATAAGCACAAATCTCTACTCCTCATGACATGAAGAAAGATTGAATGTGAAGGGAGTTTCTGTACTGTAAGCTAGTTGGATAATGCTGATGTAACCAATCACATTAGGTGGTTTTCAGTTGGGGTGTAGAAAATAGCAAGAGGCAAAGGAACAGTGGCATTGGCAAAGTCTTCTTTGAATCAAGAAGTGAATTAATTTACAAAGCAGAAAAAAAAGGCTTTTATGGTTGACGAACGCAGGGGTCAAGAGAAGGAAGTTTACGTCTTTAGACTGAATATGCGTTAACATATGGAGGTAGCAAAGATGAATTCATCTTGATTTTAAAAATGATGAAGTTTATTTACAATCAAATTTACCTACAGTTGTAATTGACCCACCTGAGAATTATAAGAAGCAAAAGGAAATTAAGGTGTTTCACAAGAGCTGTATTCATACTACAGTTTTTAGCATTTTCTGAAATAGAATTAATCTCTCTGACTCGTTAAGTCATTATATAACATGAAGCTCCCCCAAGGAAACAAACAAAATGGACTCTAGAGTATCTAGCAAATAGTTAAAGAAGCTATTTATTATTAGGACATACTCAGGCTGCTTCCAAATATGAACTCTACTGCAACATCTTGTTTCATCTTTCTCATACATGTACAGTACACAATAGAGGTTAGAGCTGCATCACTTAAATTCATGATTTTCATAAAAATAATGCAGTCTATATGCAATTTTGCGTTTCATTTGATTAAGAAGTGAAGTCGGTACCACCAGATGCACAGCCAAATTGTAAGTGCTTAAAAAGCAATGTCAGAGTAAGTTCAGTTCACAAGAAGTAAATTTATTAGAATAAATACTTTATGGTACATTTTCAGAAATTGGCTACCAGTTAAAATCTGTTTGACCCATTTTGAATGAGTAAATTGAAAAGGAAAATTGAAAAGGAGAAAAATGCATGTTTATTACACTTTTTAAATAAAACCAACCCTTGTAAGTGGACATTAATAACAGTGTCCTGCCTCATTTGTTTTCCCAATTTTGAGAATAAGAAGTTCCTGAGCATCAGTTATATACACTCAAAATGTGTAACTTTGAAATCTGTTAAGCTACTGTACATGTATAGCCAATCAGTAAAGTAGAAGATTCCTGTAATTCACACCTGTGATATTTTCTCATGTGCCACCTACACAGTCTTAAATTCTGTTTCTGCCTATATTTTCTATTGTTTTTTCTATATGTTCAGTAGCTGGTAGACTGAAAAATACTCAATGTGACCATCACATAAATTCTAAACTAGGGGACCCCTTGCATGACAATTCACACTCTGTGCGTTATTGGCTAACTATACTAAGGGATGATATCATCAGACGGTTCCATCATTTTTATTCCCTGAGACTGCATCTGTGCAGGCAGAATAATTGCAGAGTCCTCGATGGGCCCCACTGTCTTCTTGGTGCCACACAGTTTGTTTCTTCACTGAAGAGAAGAATTCTCAGACACACTTATTAAACCTTCCACCAACTTTCTACCATCAGTGCCTGAATTTTAATGCTGTTTGATTTCTCTCTGGGACAGAGACTGGGAAAGGTGAAAAGTTTCTGCAAAAAAATGAATACACAATTATTCACAACTCTAAGATGTAACTTGTTTATTTGTACAGTTCCTTGCTTCACCTTCCTGCATTTAAAAGCAATTTTCCAAGATGTTTTATTCATTTGTTTTCCTCTTTTATGCCTCTCAGCAACTGAATTTAGTTTAAAACATTAGTTTATTACACATTGCCTTGACCCTTTATAACTTGTAGATGATTAGTAAGTCAAAACTTCAAAGCAGTTTCTTGCAGATTATTTGTAGACTAATGTGGGGCATAACATCATACCTTTCTGATTGTTTTCAGTATGTAAAAATATTTAAAATACATGAATACAGACCTTGTGGTTACTTGGAATATTCTTTTCAAGTAATCCACATTGTCTGTTAAATCTTATTTTAAATAAATTGATCTGTCAAATCTAGCACCCAATATACATGGTGTCTTAATATGGAGGATACTACATGATAGCTATATTAATAGAGTAACCATATCAAAAATCAAAAGCTTTCACCATTTTGCTATATGCAAAAAGTTATTGATCAGCATTAAGTCAGAATGTCCAGAAAAATGAAAACCTATCTAATGGCTACCTTGATTTCTTTTTGTGTGGCCGATTAAATGAATGATGTGAAATTCACTGAGCTCACTCTTTGCAGGTCTAAATGGGCCAGCATACACAACAGAGGGAAATCTGGGTGGAAGAGAAGGTCACCTTATCTTGCACTCCTGGGCAGTGATGCCGTTCAGTCATGCCAGACACAAGCATTAATAAAAGGTAGACTCTGCCTCTCAGTGCTCAAACTCAGGTATGCCAGTGTATGCGGTAGAGTCAGCTTACCCTTCCCCAACTTTTCCATGCCATATTAAAAATAGGATAGTGCAGGGGCATGAAAACAATGTTTCCCTCACAGGATCTGAATCCACTTGAAGAAGGAATATAGGAAAGACAAGACCAACATGTAAGGTATCACACAACCAAAGGGAAATAGAACCATTGCAAGTGTACTTGCTTTGAATAACAAACTTCATGGTGTTCTATGTCATAGTTGAAAGCTCTAGGTATTTCAATATATTTTCAATGGGATTTAGTTCAAAGTTTGTATGTGCTTCAGTGGAACACCTCCCAATTTCTCTTCAGTCTATTTATGTAATTGTCCATTGACAATAAAATAGTAACAATGCCAATGAGCTCTAAACTGTGGATTACATCCACTGGAAAATGATTGTGTGTCAGTATTAAAGATATGCAGAACCGTAACATTCACTAATGTTAGTTTCCTCATCTGCTTCTCTGTACGTTGTGTTTATAGAATTACATGACAAACATTGGTGTAAAGCAACATGTCTTTCCACATTATCTTAGAGGTGAAGTTACATTTATTTTGCTCCTTTATAATATGTACGTCAAATGAAACACCATTTCTTTTTAAGTGACGTACTAGTTTTCTTTAATTTTTTTTATTTCAAAAGCATTTATTGTGACTTTAAAAGTGTTGCAAGATAAGGGATTTTGTGGCCGTGGTAGATTTTTTATTCTTTGTTTTATAGGTGGTTTCTATTTTTTTTTTAAACTGTAGTTTGTTTAAGTCACCAAGCAATGTCTAAATCTTACTGTGTTTCATTTGATGTTGTTAGATTGGCAAAGAAATTGGCATAAGCATTGGTTAATAGTATTGTCAAAAATTGTGTATTGTGTACTCACTGCAAAAAATAAAATATATTCACATTTCAAATTTGTAAAAAAGCCATTTATGTGAAGCAAACTTGCTTGTAGAAAAACCAGATATAGACCATTATGTCACTTTTCAAATTTCACGTTAATATTTTGTAACCAAAATTATAATCTTATTCCCTAATTGATCCTAGGTTGAAAAGTGATAAAGAGGATTTGGCATTGACTTACAGCAGTCATTAAAAGACGTTGATAAAGAATTTAATAAATATTTTAAATTATACACCCCATTTTATCAGAACTACATTCCCAATCATTTCCCTCACACTGTAATGATATCTAGGTAGAGCACAGATGTTTTATCTATAGAATTATTTTAATTATTTTAAAAATGTAAGTAACAATGAGAATGAGGCAAGTGAATATTTCTTAATTTCTTTGCAGTATATAATTATAACTTTCATTTAAAATATTTTATCTTGAGGACTGGGCAGAAAAGGAACCTATGTAATTTTGTGACACTTCATAAATATTTCATTATTTTTCCTTGTAAACTGCAACCATAGAATTTGATTCTCTTCAAAAATCAAAAGTTTTATGTTCTTAAAATAGCGATTATGACAAGTGTGGTGTTATATGCCTATAATCTCAGCTGTAGGGAGGCTGAGACAGGAGGATCACTGTGAATTTGAGCCCGTCCTGAGGTACCTAGCAAGTTCGGGGCCAGCCTGAACTATATAATGAGACCTTGTCTTTAAAATAATAAAATGATAAATCATAGTAATATTAGAAAAGAAAATTTTAATCCTATAACATTCTATTAAAATATATTTAGAACACTTGGTAAAAGGAAAATATATTTTAGAGTTCCATGTAATTTAGAAAAGTATTGATAAGGCGCTATTAATTGCAAATCATGTGACATTAATAAAATACAATGAGCATATATAATACATGTGAGTTCATGACAAAAATACATCATTCACAATGTCTGTCACTTTCCCATCACTGGAACAAAATGCCCAATACTTGCAATTTAAAGAAAGAAAGGTTTATTTTGACTCACAGATTAGTCTACAATCTACTGGCTCCAAGGCCGAAATGGCATAGTGAAAGTGTCTGGCAGAGAAAAATGGCGCACCTGGAGAAGTCCTGAAGTAGAGAACGGAGGAGCTGGAGACAAAAGTAAACCCTTCAGGTCATACCCCCAGTGCCCAACCTCCATTTGAGCCCTGCAGTTTATAGCAGACCCAAGTACAAACTCATCGATGGATTGATCCACTGATGAGTGTAGCATTCTTGTGATACGGTCACCTTCCAAAGCCCAGTCTCAGAACACTTGAGAGTTTGGTGGAGAAGAGGGGCCATTTCAGATTTAAGCCAGTTTGTATGGCAAAAGTATATATTAGCTAGAGAAACTGTATATCAGTGTTGCAGAGAGTATTTATACAAACTACTAAATATCTTTAACTTCTAAAAATGTATTTTCTCTTCCACATCAGAGTTAGCACTAAAACTTATAGCAGAAATATGCAATAAACTGTAAAATAACAGAAAATCAATTTTATGAATTTGAAGAGAAAAGCATGAAAATATTTTAGGTGGGAAGGGTAGACAATATTTGTCTCAAAGTCTCTTTTACCTGGAAGATGCAGCCCAATCTCACCTTTTTCCTTCATCTCCATAAAACAAGGAGGAAATTTGGTGCATGAGAAGTCACAAAGCTGTGCATCTCCCAGACAGATGCAGGACAATGCTGAGACTCCATGTTTATGACATATCCCCCTTTTACAGTAGTCACACACAGACTGATACGTCAGTCTGCAAGGTATCTGGCTAGATATTACCCAGATATCATCAAAATATTTTATGTATACAATGTTTTATATATACACACACACTTCAGAAATATATATTATATATTAAAAAAGGATCTAATAGAATGTTACATGTATGCTTCAAATTCTATGACCTTGAGCTAAGGTCAATGTTCACTGCAAAACCACTGTAAGTGCCCTTAGAGCACACTTCGCCTAAAAAAATGGTTTGACCGACGTAGCCTCTAGATAGGAGACACATTTTTGGCAAATTTTTATATTTTCCTAAACAACATTTTTCAATAATTTGTTTTTGAAAACTCTGGTTCTTTATTATTTATCTTTTTGCAAGCAAGAATTGAGACACTGTGCTTAGAATTAAATATTCAGAGTGCTTTAAAAAGAAAGAGCATTTGCCTTCACAAATAGATTAATATCCTCTGTTAAGCCTTGCCCTGTTTTCTAGGAAAGTATCTTTTTGATTAATGTTTTTATGCTAAGGGGAAAGAACCAATAAATAAAGCTTTCAAATACTTTGTGAATCAATAAATTTTCTATTAGCTTCATTAACATCACCCACTCACATCATATGATCCATGTTCTAGTCCTTCTCAAAACAGTCTATAGACTATTAATTAGCATTTTAAAATGAAGATAAAGGAGGAGAATGCCACAGTTAAGTGTGTAAAGAGATTTCTACACTACTTGACTCCTTTTCACAAGTCTATTTAAATATGACATAATATGAAGTCCTGTGTCCTAGGGCATCTTATGGCACCAGCACTGTGTGCAACTCACTTTGAAAACTATCCTAGGAATCACCATACATTTTCTACCCCTGATGTTCTTTAGGAGCTGAAAAGGCAGTGCATTCCATGAGTTACTGTAGTTTCTTTTCAAAGCCAGTATTAAGTAAAAGGAAGAGACATGCAAATCCCAGGTTTTCTGCAGAGATGATGGACAAAATGTGCAGTGAGAAATTCATTTATTAAATCCTGTTGCACGAACTTAATGGAGATCAGTACTTGGTACTTTGGCAATAAGTAAAACTGCATTGTGTTCTTTAGCACTTTTATAATTCTTTTGTATAATGTTAACTCTTGAAATCATTAGGCTAAAACTAAACAGTGAAAATACTCTCATTATGTATCCCTACAACAGGTTCACAATTCCCACAAAAGGATGATTATTTATTCAATTTTAAGATTACCATCTGATTAGTACTAGGTTCTTTGTCAAGTGGAACTTCGCTTAAAAAAAATAGTGGATAACACAAAATTTAGAGGGAGGAAGCTTATCTCAACAAGACAATACAAAGTTAAGTTTCGGTGAAATTTGAAATATACTTTATTTGTAGAAGTAAATATCACAATGTTCAGAAACTAGTAAATGAAGCATAACAGATAAAATGGAGGATTACCATGAACTTCCATTGACAGTACAATGATAATGTTGTATAAATTAAAGTAGAATGCTATATAAGTTAAAGTAGAAAGGTCATAAGGATTTATGTGTAAGCCTTGAAACTTCAAACTAAATAAATATTGTAACTATAATATATTGTGAAATATTTCCATTTATAAAGTATGCAGTTTCTAGTAAGCAACAACAGGAAATACCAGAAAAAAGTGGAATGTAAGCAAATATAAGGGGCATAATCCTGAACATGTCAGACTGATTTCCTGCACCTGTAGACCGGAATGTAATAAAATCAGATCCCAACACTCAAATAGGATCTTTCTTAAAGAAAATTAAGAACAATAACCAATGATGATAAGTCTCCAACAATAATCTGCCTGGGGATCAACCACAAAAGAAGCATAAACAAAGGTATCTCCTTGGGAAGATAAGAAGAATGAAAGAAAAAAAAGATAATCACATACAATAAAAAATAGTAGATAAAATGGAATTAAAAGCAAAATTTGGTCTTCCCATCTTTTCACCTTCCTATCCTGTCTTTCTCCACAATCCTAATGAGTTATTGATTGCCTCTTATTAAATACCAACAACAGAAAAGCTTAGAGCCATGAAAAATAATTAGGATATAAGAACAACTCTGCATAATTATGAAATGACAAGCTATAATTAATCATCTTTTCCTTGTGAATGTCTCTTCTAAAATGACTTCATAGCTATAAATCACACAAAACTTCCATTTTGTAACACAAGCACAAACTGCACATTAAGCTATTTGCTGACAACACAAACTTCCTATAGGACTTAGTGATAGTATTCAATGTACACTCGAACATGAGTTTCATAGATTAGTTCTTGAGGCATAAACTTACCTGCTGAATGTTTTACCTGACATTTTCTCTAGTTATAGCTTGTCATCAGGAATTTCATATCCCTATGCTTAAATATGGTGCTATTAGCAATGACGTTTTCCTTCAAAGACATGGTTATTTCCCCAAACATTTGAGGTTTGAGAAATCATTTCTAAATAGATTGTGGATTTTTGAATGTAAAGCACTAAAATGCTACATTTCATATGCCTTTTGCAACTGCCAGCTTCTGATACAACACTGAGATGGAGGCTGCCAAAATATTGAGTTGATTTCAGTACACTAGTACCGAATAACTTGTTTTAATAAACTAAGTCGAATGACATTGTGATTTTATTTGTGAAAGCATGCATTCTTCATTTGAGTAAATATCCTGTTTAAAACCCAAACACTAAACGTATTTCAAAATAAGATAATTAAGAATAGAAACAATAGCGAGAATAAAAAATGTGCTTAGAAGCTACTTTGCATTTGATTGCTGAACTGATAATATTGGGTGTTAAGTGGATCTATGAAGAATAAAGCATTATAAGACATCATTTTACTTCTTTTTAAGTCCAAGTTAAGATGAGCTTCCTCTGATGAGACAAGCACATGTCTACTGCTAGACTGTCAAGCAAGTAAAAGTTTACCAGGTGACTCTTTATATAAATTTTGGGTTAAGAAAATACCACAATTGCTAACAAAAGCTTTGTAAAAGTCAAAGCACTAATTTTCAAGAGAATTTTTAAATATAAATTATTTATAAAAGCTTAGGATCAATGTCCTAGCAAATTCAATCTTATCCAAGGCAATTTTATTGGTAGAATTCAAGTACAGGAGATAGGCCAATAATTTTTACTGTCAGAGGTAAAACCACTTAAGCAACAGGTCTAGTTAGAGTCAGACAGAGTCAATATTTTCCTATAAGATCCTTGGATCATCT